AGCCTCATCATTGGATTAAATACTCTATTAGCCACATCATGTATTTAATTAATTAGGTACAGGTACCAACTCACCATAGTTAATGTAATTTTTAATGTCATTATTATGTACTGGAAACATGTACTAGTAAAAATAAAAAGTGAAAAAAAATGTTCCGTTGAGCTGGCTGAAGAAAGCTCATAGAGAAGCAAACTAAAATGAAAAAGCCATAGAAATTCATATTGTAAAACATTCTATAATATTGCCTGGTCCTTTCAAACTGACAATGTCAGAGCAGAGGGGAAAAGGAGATTAAAATGTCATTGCAAACAAATATGATGTATCAACTGGAACTGATCATGATTTGAAAAAAATGGCGGGGTCAGGGCTGGGGATTTAACTCAGTGGTGCCACCACCTGCCTCATAAGCTCAAGGTCCGGAGTTCAATCCCCGGTACCAAAAAAAAAAGAAAATAAGGCAGGGCCAGATGTGGGCATTCATCTAATCTCAGCATTCCAAGAGGCAGAGTCACACCCAGAGAATTTAACAAGACATTGTCTCAAAATAAAAAAATAAAAAGAGCTGGAGTAGAGTTCAGTGCAAAGGCCCTGGGTTCAATCCCCAATATTGTGAAAAAAAGAGAAAATTAAAAACTGGTTTTAAAAAGTTTTTTGGGGCCAGGGATTTAGCTCAGTGGTTCCAGTGCCTGCCTCGAAAGTACAAGGTCCTGAGTTCCATCCCCGGTACCAAAAAAAAAGTTTTGGAGCCAGTTGAGGATGTTTGCATGTGAACTAGATATGTTTTTCAACTTTCCTAGCTGTGACGATAGTGCTGACTGTGTACAAGGGTGCCCCTGTCTTAGGAGACGCACTCAAAAGAAGGCCCAGCATCCTCCACCAATGATGTGCCCAGACCATGCCTTGGGGTTTGGGGGCGTTTTTTTCTTTCCTTTTTGGTTTTTTGAGACAAGGTCCCACTATGTAGTTCAGACTGGCCTTGAACTCACTATGTAGCCAAGGCTGACCTCAAACTTGCAGTGATCCTCCTGCCTCAGCCTCCAAAATGCTGGGATGACAGGTGTGCACCACCACACCCAGCATGCCTGTGTTAAAGACTCAGGGATTTTAAATGTTTTATTATTAAAAAAAAAAAAAAAAAGACTCAGGGATTTATGATCCCATGACCTTCAGCAACTTGAAATCAGCCACGTAAGAATTTTATACCACAGAAACCACAAATGCTGCAACAGCCCCGCCCCAACTAATTTACAGCATACCATGCCCAAAGTTGACTTTTAAACAGCTCAGAAAAGCGCATGCCCACAGGAGTAGAATCAAACTGACAAAACGCAACAAGTGCTGCATCCAGGTTGAGGATATATGGTCATTCAGTGCCAGTCCAGGAGTCAGCTGGCTCTTTTTGTGAAGGCCGAAGACAAGATGTAACGAAAGGACATGCTTATGTTCCAGCAAAACTTTATGGACAGAAACAGCTTTAGGCCAGGGCCATAGCCTTCTAGCTTTTGTGGTTCTGGGAATTGAGGCCTGGGCCTTCTTAATGAACTGCATTCCCCGCCCTTTTTCATATTTGTTATTTTTATTTATCTATTTATTTATTTACTTTGTATTTTTTAAGGCAAGGTGTTGCTATGGAGTTCAGGCTGGTATGGAACTCATTACATTCCCCAGGCTGGATTCAAACTTTCGATCCTCCTGCCTCAGCCTCCCAGAGTGCTGGGATTAGGTATCCACTAGCATGCCCAGCTAACTTTTCTGTATTTTTTTAATGTCATAATAAAAAATTGAGAAAGAAAGTACAAATTTCTTAGCCTGGTCTTCAGAGCCTTTGTGGGTCCCCTGACACGTGACCCTGCAAGCTGGGCCATACCAATCTACTTTTGTTCCCTGTACACTGCACTCAGATCTGCTCTGCACCTTTGCTCAGCTGCTCTCGTTTCCCCAGTGCCCTGGCCACCCCTGACCCCATGTCTGTCCAACAGCACTCACAGGACCTGCCTCACACCCCGCTCTACAAGGCTTCCTGCATTCTCATGAGGTTGAAGTTGCTTTCTCATTCCTTTCAACAGCTATTATCCTTCCCACTTTGTACTGTGGGTTTGTGCTGCTTCTCAGTTTGTCTTTAATTAGCTCTTGATCCATAAGGCAGAAAAAGCACGTTCTACTAGTACTTGTAAACTGAACGTCTAATCTACTCACGCAGGTATTCACGTCCCTGCAGTTTGGAACCTACAAGTCTAGACCAGGAGAAGTTGGTTTGTCCTGATTAGGTTTGGAAGATTAAAGATAATGAAAACAAGCTGGCTGTGATGGCAGACACCTGTAATCACAGTACTCCGGGAGTCTATGGAGGAGGGTTGTGAGTTCAAACCCAGCCTGGGCAACTTGGCAATTTAATGAGACCCTGTCTCACAAAATGGGGAGGGATTTAGCTCAGTGGTTCTGCTGCCTGCCTCAAAAGCGCAAGGTCCCAAGTTCAATCCCCAGTACTAAAAACAAAGGAGGAGGGGGTAGCTGGGGATGTGGCTCAGTGCTCAGGCCCTGGGTTCCATCCTAGTACAGCAAAAAAATGATAATAAGGGGAGTATTCTTTCTGTCTTCAGGACTCTTGGCTTTCTTGGCAATAGCTGAAGGCCTGGAGAGAGAACTAAGTCATCTGTGCTTGGTTTTCACAGCCTCACTGAGCATGGACAGCAATTGTCTGCCAGGGCCTCTGAGCTCTTTCATGCAGCCCCCAATAATCCCACAAAGGACTGATACTATCCTCAGAACGAGGACTAGTAAGTGGCTTTCTTAAGGTTTTAAAGCCAGAATGGGAGTTTGAATCTGGCTGCCTCTGCTACCCAGCACCATTTTAGTGCCCTTGTGCCCTCCTGATTGTCAGACGGGGAAACCTAAGCGTGAATGGTTCCAGAGTCCACGTGTGGAGAGAAGCCTCTATGGAGGGCGAGGATCTGGTTTAGTGTTGGTGCCTCGGAACGAGGCAACAGAAAGCATGACCTCCTCTCCATCTGTGATCTCAAGTCACTGAGTTTCTCCAGACCTCAGAAGAACAAACCAGTGTATTTATTTTGTTTGTTTCATGCATTATAGTCAATAGCTTACAATCTCCTGAAGAGTGAGTAGAAAATTAAAATACAACACTGTATAATAATGCTGCACTCCAGGTGTACCCAGGTACTCCAGAAGCCCACTTCATCCTGAGTACATCCACGCCCACACAGGCAGAACTTGGGAGCTGGTGGGAGGCACCCCTGGGACAGATGGTAGATTAGCTCTGAGAACTTCGACTAGATCCTCTAAATACTGGTTGAAGGGAGGAGAGACTGGGAAGATGGAGCTGGTCGAGAGTCATATTGGAGAAAGGACTTCAGCGCCTCCTGAAAGAGCATGGCCTTTTTCCTTCAGACTACTCAGGGGCTTTAAGCAAAGTCATATTTGCATTTCATCAAGATTTGGCAGTGTGGTGTGGTAGGTGGAGTCCAGGGTGCAGAACTGGTGGTGGGAAAAAGACTCTTTAGGAGGTGACTACAAAGCTAACCCAGGTGAGATGACCAGAGCCCGAACTACTGTAGCAGCAGTGGGAAGAGGTGTAGAGCTCCAAGGGCAGCAGAGCAGATCGCTATCAGTGAATGTGGCTGGAGGTGAGCTTAGATTCTGCAGGTGAAGACAGCAAAGTTGGCCCTCCTGCCATACCACATGCCCCTCACAGGCCGGAGAGGCAGGCACCTGGCACTCGAACAGGCTGGGAGACCCAGACAGATGACCCCTCCAGTGTGGCTGCTCCAAGCCTGTAGGGACTCCTGGGGACCAGTCAGTGCTGCAGCCCAGAGTGAAGTTCGTTGTCCACAAGCCACAGAATACAGCTCATACCTGGCTCTGCCAGTCATCCCAGGGAAAAGACTCCCAGCTCCTGGTTTAGGAAGGGAGACACATGTTTGCTGAGGAGAAGAGGGAACTGGGACAAAGGAAAGCAGACAGAGCAAATAACTGAGTCCTTTCCAGTGCTAAAGAGTAACCATTTTATTGATCCTTTCTTGTGACCAAAGAAGGGTGAGAGGGGCCAGGGATGTAGCTCAGGGGCACTGCGCCTGCCTCTCAAGCTCAAGGTCTTGAGTTTGATTCCCGGTACCAAAAAAGAAAATCAAGCAAAGAAGGGTGAGAAGTCAGCTTCATTTGTCAGCAAATTTATTTTTTAGAAAGGGTGTTCTGGTTCATTCTCCTCAAATCTTTTAATTTTAAATACATCACAGTCAGGTCTAACAGTATGTGTCTTTCTTGAATTTTCATATAGACTATTATGTCAACATACAGCATTCGAGCTGGGCATGGTAGCACACACCTGTAATCCCAGCACTCAGGAGGCTGAGGTAGGAGGATCCCTACAAGTTCCAGGCTAGCCTGAAACTACTTATTGAGACCCTGTCTCCAAAAAAAAAAAAAAACCTTTATTTTTTTTGGAGCAGGGTCTCATTATATAATTCAGGCTGGCCTTGAACTCACTATGTAGCCCAGGCTGGCCTTAAACTCATGGCAATCCTCCTGCCTCAGCCTCCCGTGTGCTGGGATTACAGGCATGCACCACCACACCCAGCACATATGGCATTTTAAAAGAAAGTTATGAACTAAGATGTTAGTGAAGGTTTCCTCACAGAATATCAAGCTGCTGAATTCAGAATCCCAGAGAGGTAAATGCCCTCCACTTTCATTACCGCCACCCCCAGTGTGGCACATTTCAACCTATCAGGAGGGGGAGTTGGGCAGGATGTGTAATTAGGCTGATTGGAGCCTATTGTGCTGCTCTGAGCACCAGGCAAGCAGCCTGGGGGAGCGTTCCTGCCTGGAGATCACTGGGGAATGATGGCCTCTTTAAATGCCTCAGCATAACGAAGCAGAAATACAGAGTATACAGTTTCTCCCCTTCTTAATCCCCCCCCAATTTAATTGTAGTCCTTACTGTGCAACCTAAAAACTGACTTTTATTGTGGTTTTTTTCTTACCAGTTACGAGAAACAATCAAAGCTGGCAAAGGTGTGACTTCAGCTATTGACCTGTGTTGTTACCATGGAAACAAGGCACTGGAGGCCCTGGAGAGCTTCCCTCCCTCGGAGGCCAGATCGGCTTTAGAAAACATCGTGTTTGCGGTGACCAGATTTTCATGACACCAAATTAAAAAGACACTACAATTCCTTAGCTGAAAAACCTCAGGAGTGAGGTGATGGAGGAGCTTTTGTTATAAAATAGCTATATACGTTAATGACTTTAAGAACATACACATAGTTTTCCTTCCTTTCATCACATTGCTAAATGAACCTGCCTTCTTTTTGGAATCAGATGCAAACAAAATGAGAAGAAAAAAAGGTCAAGCAGTTTCTACTTGTCACGCCAGAAGCACACTTGAGGCTGCGGTAGCAGAAATAATTAATGAGAGTCACTCCCGTGACCTCAGCAAATGGACAGGAAATAAGTCCTTATTGATTGGACTGGGCCAGGGATGGCGCCAGGGCGGTGGCCTGTGGTTTGTCTTCTAGAAAGAACAGAGCGAGCTGGGAGCTGCAGGTGTTGGGGAAACACTATCGATGCCAGCCAGGAGGGCTGGCAAATCAAAGCCCAGTGACCAGTTTGCCAGAGGGAGAAGGGTTCCGTGCGCTAAGGGAAAATATGCTTTCTTGTCTTACCATGGTGTCTCTGATTTTATAGATACAATCTGAATATGTTTTGCTCATCATGGTCTTTGTAAGATTTGGGGGGGAAAATTGCTGAAAAAATGCCAAATACTTGAAATAGGAGATTAAAACATTATCAAATGTTAATATGGTTATATTAGAAATTGTCTGTTTTTCTTTCCTTAAGATCAGTTTTTTCTCCAAACGCATTTCAAAGAACCAATTTTTTTCAATGAAAAGGGAGCTTTTTTCAAATGAAATTTATTCATTTGTAATATTCTGGGGAATACCTCTAATTTTTACAAGTTTCAGAAATATAATTCTTGCACTGGAGAGCTCATTGGTAAGAGTTTTCTTTTAACCTTACCTGTCAAATTTCACCTGTCAGATTTGGGTCTGGAACCACAGACATCCAGTGACAAAGGAAAAAGAGAGCGATTACACCGCCGAGACCCCGCACTGCACTGCGATGGCAGGAGCTGAGTTGTGCGGTTTGCATGCGTGGAACCTGAGAGCACCGCTGACAAGAAGGCTGAGTTTACATAAACGATCGAGATTGCGGCTCAGCTGCCTTTCTTCCTTCTGTGGTGTAATTACAGCCCTATCTGGAGACAGCGAACACAGCAAACAGATTTTATTACCTACTTCCCTCAAACACTAAGTGGAGTTATTTTCAGTTCCTCTCCCTAAAAGTTTTATCAGGGCGCAGCCTGCAGCACGCAGTGAAGAGAAAGTGTAAAGCTACAGAGGTTAAGGTATTGTATTATGAAATATTTTAAATATACTTGAAATATAATTGTACAGTTCATGCTAATACAATCTGCAGGCCCCTAGGTTTCGCGCAAGAACGCTCCACTCTCCTGTTTGAAGCGACTTTTCACTCTGAACTGGTTTAATCAGTAACCATGGCTAAGTTGCTGTGGCTCGGCTGGGTTTTAATCATTAACCCCCACACAGGAGGAGTCCGGTCTCGGTGCGGCGGCGTGGGACTGCGGGGAACTTAGGGGAACCGAGGGTGGCACAGTGGGGAGCCTGAGCAGCGCCTCAGCTCTGGTTACATCCGGCTGCTGTGTGACCTTGAGCAAGTCACTTCCCTCTGGGGCTCAATTCCCTCATCTGCAAAATGAGATCATCGTAAAGTCCCTTCGAGGTTTGTTTCCTAAAAGTTTACTATTTCTGACTTTACAGAGCAAACGTGTGAGATTCCAGCAGGAGAGAAGGCAAAACCCAAAATAATGTTCTAAGGAATGCAGAAAAGTGGTGAGCTCCCTCAGCTATCCAGGCGACCTCAAGTATCCTAGCTCTCCCTTCCAGGACTGGCCCTGTGGACGCTTGTACTTACACCCATCTCGCTGCTTTCTTTGGGACCTTTCGTCCCAGCAGCTTTGCATCCGGTCTTCCGTCCCTTTACGGTACCGGCGGACTCAGGCTGCGGGATCCCGGGGAGCAGGAGCCCCGCCCCCGCTGCTGAGTGACAGAGCTCTGGCTCCGCCCTCAGGGAGGTGCCTGGCCATTCCTCAGGGCGCCCTTAGCGTTTAGGCAAGGTTTTTAAAAACCTGATGCGTTGACAAATCACACTAAAGTATGAACTACTGACACAGGTGGTGTCACACACCTGGATTCCCAGCTACTCCTGAGGCTGAGGCAAAAGGCTTGGAAGTTCAAGGCCAGCTTGGACGATTTAGGGAGACCCTGTCTCAAAATAAAAAAGGGCAGGCGGTGTGGCCCATTGGTATAGCGCTTGCCTAGCGTGGATTCAGTCCCCAGCGTTGCAAAGTGACATACGAAATATCGATGGCCTTTCTCTAAGCGCCTTCTGGGACGTTTACTTCATAACTCATACTAAGTTCAACGTTAGACAGTCCTAAGGAGCAGTCTGGGGTCCCAGAACATTTCTTATTCACACCTCTCAGCCTGCCCCTGAGCGTGCTGGAAAAGGTGGGGAATAGGTAGTCAGTGGCCCTAGAAGTCTCCCTTGCTCCCCTCCCCTCCTCCTCCCCAGGCCCAGTTCCTCTCTGGAGGGAAGAACTCATTCAATAGCCATTGTCCTGCTTCCCTCCACCACCTGCTCTCAAACTTCACTTCAGACCCCCATGACCCCACCTGTACTCTTCTCTCTGCCAGTTTTTCCTTTTCGTTTATTTGCTACTTATTTGGATTTTTGAGACTGGGTCTCACTATTTAGTACAGGCTGGCCTTGAACTTCCAGTGAGCCTTCTGCTCCAGCCTCCCAAAAATGCTGCAATTTTTTCTTCGTTAGTGAGGATTTCTGTTTTTGTTTGTTTAGTTGGATGGTTGGGGTTTTTTGTTGGGGGGGGGTGTTTGAGGAGGATTTTTTTGTTAGTTGGTACTAGACATTGAATCCAGTACACTGAGCTACATCCCCAACCCTTTTTTTTATTTTTTATTTTGAGTCAGGGTCCTAAGTCCCTAAATTCCCCAGGCTTTGATCTTCCTGCCTCAGCCTCTGCCTGTGTGCCACCATGACCCGAACTATCCTCTCCTGTTTCCATCCCCCACCCAGACACGGGTAGTATCAATCTCCCCTCCACAGACACAGAAGGCTACCCGGCCTGCCTGGCTTAACCCCACTCACCCCTGAAGGCCTTTCCAGTCAAGCCCCATCTGGGAGCTTCCCTTTACTCCTTTGTGAAGACCTCATGCCTGTCTTCTCCTGTCTCTGGTTTCTCCTCCCTCATTTCTCCTCCGCTGTGGTGCTCTGTTCTCCCTGTGCTTAAAATTCCTCACATAGGGCTGGGGATTTAGCTCAGTGGTTTCACCACCTGCTGTGCAAGTGCAAGGGCCTCAGTTCGATCCCCGGTACCAAAAAAAAAAAGACCTTAAAATTCCTCACATTTAGGGCTGGGGATTTAGCTCAGTGGTTTCACCACCTGCTGTGCAAGTGCTAGGACCAGAGTTTGATCCCCGGTACCCAAAAAAAAAAAAAAAAAATTCCTCACATTTCCCTGTTTGTTCTTCCACCATTTTTCTCTCTCCCAGCTTAACTATGGTTCTTAGAGTCTCCATACTCCTTACCTTTTAGAATCGGTCTTTCCCTGCCAGATCCCCACATCTAGACAAGAGCCAGCACTGCAGACACTCAAAGAATACTTGTCAGACACTTCAGGGCCTTCTGCTCCGCTCTCCTGAAAGGGCTTCCTGGAGCTCACAGGTAATGTCCCCAGGCCCTTTCCCTGCACCCACCCTTACCTGCCTGCATATTCAGGTCATTCAGGTCGCAGCTGGGCCTTGGGGTAGGACCCATCTTGCTCCTGGTTCTCCTTCTCTTCTCTCACTACCCTTCTTTCTTCCTCCTCTCTGATAGCCTCTGTTTTCTAAACATTTCAATTCTATTTCTCCAGAAACTACACAGTTTCCTGCCCCACTAAATCTTTTATTTTCTTCTTTTTTGAGGTGCTGGTAATCGAACTAGTTCCCCATATATGCTAGACAAGTGCCCAACCACTAAGCTACACCCCTGTTCCCCTAACTCTTTTAAATTCTCCAAGCTAGAAAAGTCCATTGCTGATGTAGGAACAATATGAATTATATATTGATTAGATAGTAAGCTATTTGCCATTTGTGATTAGTTACTTTGAAAGAAAATAAAGATTAAAAAATAAAGAAGATAAAGATTATGACCATCATTAAGTGCATTAACTTTGTTGTACTTGAAGATAGCACTAAATTCTTTTCAAGTTTTCTGGTTTCTATAATGTGGCTAACCACATTTTAGGAGTCACACCTGAAAATAAATGATGAGTAACATTGTTTGGTTCAGTCTTGTTCTCAAATGCTTGTGAGCGGATCTTATCTATGACAGGGTTATTACTGTGGCCCAAGATAGGAACAACACCCACCTTGACTAATAGGCATATGTATTAGCAAAAATGCTCCAAGAAGATGTACAGCTCTTTTTACGCCCAGTGTGTACAACGCATTGAACCTCAGTGACAGAAAGTAATCTCTGTAATCCTCAATGATCTTTCAAAACATGTCAAAGAGCTATGTACCAAGCATGTCTGTGGGGACTTGTGTGAACAAAATTGCAGCCAAAGGATACTTTAAAAAATGGGCTGGGGATTTAGCTCAGTGTCACTGTGCCTGCCTCACAAGCACAAGGTCATGAGTTTGATCTCTGGTTTTGTTTTTTTTTTCTTTTGGTACTGGGGATCGAACTCAGTTCCTTGAACTTGCTCAGCAGGCGCCGAAACCACTGAGCTAAGTCCCCAGCCCTGATCTCTGGTATATATATATAAAAACTCACTAATTAGAGAGTCCATCACCAAGGAGGAGAACCTTGCTTTTCAGAAAATCCTTTTCAAGCACTTTCCTAGAGTTCGTAGTTTTGGAAGATACTTTCCTACTTCTTTGTTTGCCACTTTGACATACTATTGTTAATCCCAGTTTCTCAGGAGGCTGAGGCAGGAGGAGCACAAGTTCAAAGCCTACCTAGACAATTTAGCGAGACCCTTTCTCAAGATAAAGAAAAAGGCCCGGCGTATAGCTCAGTGGTGGAGTTGCCCTGGGTTCCATCCCCTGTATTATGGTTGTGATCATCTTTCTACCAATGAAAGCTCCAGGATTTCTCTCCTGAACCCTGAACATGACTTCTCAATCTAGAGGACATGTGGATTTGCTGTTAATCCGTTTGGTCTGAGGACATCACCTTTTTGTTTGTTTGTTTTGAGACCTGGTCTTGCTATGTAATTCGGGTAATCCTCCTGCCTCTTTTTCCTGAGTGACAGGATTATAGGTGTGCACCATCATGCTGGCCATCTCTTTAAAAAACAATAAAAGGTTTGAAGTTGAAGACTCATCTGGTTACTATTAATAATTCCCTTTGCTTTTAATCCTGTGTTATTAGTAACAAAGTTGTTTGCACACTTAGAAACACCCAGCACCCTCAGGTGAGCATGTAGCTCACTGACAGAACATTTGCTAACCAGGCCCTGGTTCAATCCCAGCAAGGAAAAAAACAACAGAACCACAAAACACTCTGGCAAGCTAATCATTTCCATCTTCTTTTCCTGCCTTCTGTCCTGACCTCTTCTTGAATTAGCTGTTTTATTCTTTCAGAATGAGTCCTTCCTTTCCATTAAGAAGATCATAGACTTCTGATGTTGTTGTTGGTGGCGGTGGTGGTGGTGGTGGT